CCAGTGAACAAAGCCAGTGCTGCTATTGTGAACATTAGACATGGCAAAAGTGACTTAAAAAATAATGAAACTTGAAAGTTAGAAATGTTAAGTTTTTTTAATCTGTCTTGTCCCTGCACCCCTAGAAATATGACTGAGGCGTTTTTCATATTTTTGCATGTAAAATTATGCACAGATTTGCACAAATGTACAAAGTCCAGATACAAATCCTGTGGTGGCTGATGGCTCTTCTGTAAACATACAGTTCCTAATGGATGCATGTAATATCCTCCTCTGTGTTTGTAGAACACGAAAAAGTAGTTGTAGGATAAATGATTAATTCACTTCAGACATAACACTTTTCATGCTTCATCTACGGTGAGGTTGATGTATTTTGCTTTACAATCTGGCTGCATCCTGAGTGCCCTTACAAATCTCTGTAATGGGCATTTCAACAAGTCCTCCTTTCCTGGGAGTACCAGCAATACCTCAGTGCATCTAATCAACCCAGTGGTGTGTCTGGGCTGGGAAAAACTGCATCCCCAACTTTGTTGGCTTAAGGAAACAGTCTTAATTAGCTACACATGAATGCAGGAATGGAATATTCTTAAGAGTGGAAGGAAATATCCCTCATCCCTGGGAGTGTCAAAGGCCAGGTTGGATGGAGCTTTGAGTAACCTGGTCTAGTGAAAGGTGTCCCTGCCCATGGCAGGGGATTGGAACAAGATGATCTTTACAATCCCTTCCAATCCAAACCATTCCATGATTCCATGAAATATCTCTTGTTTAATAAATTTTGCATTGGCTTCATGGTCAAAAATAACAAGTGTATTGGCAGTACCTACTAATTTGAAACTTGAATGACTATTTAAAGCATCTTTACGATGAGACAGAGTTGATTGTCCCAAGTTGTAACTGGTTTGTTAGATAATGGCAAAACAGTAAAAATAATACATTGATATTAAAATGACTGGTCTAGTGAAAGAGAGCTTGAGGGATGTAATGGTTATTTGAATTGCTGTAGCATTATATTAATGAGGTAAGTCTGTGATTATCTGTATTCTAGTTCAATTCTTTCTGTTATGGCACAGGGTTTAGTTGCAGGGGATATAAAAGGACCATCAAGAAGAATCTTCAGAATATCTGATTAGATGGAAGCATATCCTTCACCTTCAGGTATTTCAGCAGTCTGCAGTTTCACTTGTTGAATTTCACATACAACTGTGTGCACCATGTGTTTTCTGTTGTGTTGAGCATAAATTCTTTTGCCCATGGAAAAATATTTCCTGCTTACTTTATCTGGTAGAAAGAAATTCTTGCTGAATCTGTAATGATGGAAGTCTGTCTTTAATCTACAAAAATTATTTCTAGTTTAAAGTATTGTCTCCCATTTTGTGATTGCATTTGTTATTTATCTACCTGATGCAGACCATATGCATGTTAATTAGATATATATGGATTCCCACATATTGATCTTTTTGGGTCCTAAGTGATGTAAAATTTTTACTTTAACCTCTCAAGGAGGATATTTGTCCACTTGATGAAATCCCCATGAAATTCAGCTCTCTCTTCTGGAGGAGATCAGAGATGGAATAGCAATGGGTATAGGAAAAGCTGAGTTTAGGGATCAGGACTGAAACAGGGGCCTTGGTTTATGCCTTATTGTCAGAGTTGCATGATGTTTTAGGCTGAGTTGCTTAGAGGTGCTGGAGGGTAGAATCTCCTGAAGATGACTGAATGCTATGGTCAGTGCTGCTTGTTTTTATAGCTGGTTTAAGCTATTAAAAGCTTTTCACTTTAAAAATGAGATTCCCAGTCAAATTGATGACAGATCACTGTAGTGAGAGGAGATGTACTTGCACATCCTCACTTGAGAACGTGGCCCAGGCTGCTCCATGGAAACAAAAGAGAGGAGAAGCAGATGCACTGCTTGTTTTTGCTTTAAAATCTATTCTGCATGCTTGAAATGGAAGCATGCTCCTTCGGGTTTCTCATTTATTCACCTCTAGGTAGGTTTTCCCGGTGGAATTGCACACCCTTCCACCTCCTCTGCCCTGGATGCCCTGGGAGAGACAAAGCCCAGTGTCTGTCTGTGAACCCTTCGCCCGATGGTGCCTTGACCTTGTTTACCAGCTTTGGCTGTTTAAGGTCTCAGCCTCTGCAGTGGCACTGTCAGGAATCTCTCTCATGCAGGAGGCCTCCCGTTCTAAATTTACCCTCCTTATGGTTTATGGTCCCTCCTCTGTGGCTGCAGAGAGAGGCCCCTTTTATGACTCCTTCCCCTGCTCGGGGTAACCCTTTGTGAGCAGTGCCCGTCCAAGGAGTGCTGGCAGGGGCCTGGCACACTGCCTGCCACCATGTGCTCTTTTGTTGCTGCTGGGGAAGAGCAAATTCAAATAAAATCCTGTCATTCCAATTAAGTTAAAGAGCTTTCCTTGGAACTTGGTGATTTTGCTATCCCAAGATGCTGGTGGGGTCCTCAGACTGAAGCACTCATGGGAGAACAGCACTGCTTTTATTTTAAAGTGAAGTTAAATTATTTTACATTTTCTTTAGGAACCTTTATAACATCCTGTTAGACAGCAATTATTATTGATTTAGTCAAATGCTTAATAACAACAATTATGTATAGACTTTGAGGGGGTTTTTGTGTTTCTGTATACAAAAACAAGGTGTAAAAGGGACATGCACACCAGTGCAAATATTATTTTGTCACTTTGTACTGGGAAACACATTAGTTCATTTCAAAAAAATTCAGACAAGTGATTTTTCTCCTGCCTGTGGCAGCTGAATGGTATGAATGGTATGTGCATGTGTGTGCAGGTTTGGGGGGATGTTCACCAAAGCCAGCCTTAGCTCCACTGACTTCTTGAGAACACTCCAGGGGACCTAAAGTGAGACTTCTGCTCCATATTGTTCCTAAAGGAACCTCACTTTCCCTCCTCCCCTTACACACAGAGGCTGAGACATTAATTTTCTTCATGAAAAAATTTTTGATTTCCCCTTTATTGGAGTATGTGCTCCTGACTCACTTGGGCCTTTTCAGTGTGTTGCACAGGAAAGACAACTGGAAATCTGTAAACGTATTTTAGAGAAAAAGATTACTTCTGTGCAAAGCTGTATTGATGGTAAGTTCATCAGAAGTTTTCTCTAAGGCCTCAATATTTAATTTGTAACCTAATTTTGTCCTTCAGATGGTCACTGTTGCCTTAGAGTACAAGCATGTTCTGTACCAGGAGGTTCATGTGACCCTGAAGGCACCAGTTGCTTTGTTCAGGGAGCAGAAAATGACTGTGCTGTGAAGCTGCATTGGCTGAGCCGTGGCAGGAGGGAGCCTTGTGAGCTGCACCTCATGAGCAGTATTTATTAGCATGGCAAATGTTTTTCTTTGTGCTGAACTTAAGTCTTGCGTGCTGCTCTTTTGCAAAGAATTAATTTACTAGTAGATTTACTTTTGTGAATTACCAAAGTTTTTAATAATATTCTTTATTTTCTCTCCTCACATGACTTCTTTGCTTGGTGGTGTTGCACAGTACACACTTTCTGCAGAAGAAACCCTCCTAAGGACTGCCTGGGATTTTATAATGTGACCCAACTTGCCAGTGTTGCAATGCTCTTTTCTCTCCCATTTTGTCACATACAAACATGCCACGAAACGCATTTACAGAGTAGCTTCTGTTCAGCATTCTGAATACATAGCTTTGCTGTCAAGCCTCAGGATAGAAGCTGATTGCCTGCAAAGGGCAGGAAAATAGTGTTTAAAGCATTTTAAGCAGTGCTGTGTAGTGGTGAATTATCAGCTGCAGTTTCTTACCCTTTGCTGAGAAATCAGATGCAGATCACTGCTGGAGGGAGAATGGTGGGACCATGGATGAATAGTCTGAACTGGCACTACAAATCCCTTGCCCCTACTTTTATGTGGAAAAGTATCATTTTCATCATTTTCAATATGGTACTTTTATGATTCATAATTTCTGAATCTTGATATAGATATTCTTGCAGTGGTTCTTACAACACTCTTTGTTGTCTCAGCCATTTATTTTGCACTTACTGTGCAGTTCTTTCACATTTCACTTGAGCCACAGGAGCTGCTGTGTGAGGCCAAACCATGATTAAAAATGGAGCATTCAGAACTAAGATTCCAACTACAGCAGTGTGGGAGAGGATTTTGTCCTCAGTTTTGGGCTTACAAGAGCTGCAGGTGTAGCTGGTTGATTGAAAGCTGTTTCCTTCCTGTGATGGAAGACTGGCAGGACACCATTTGGACAGCAACACATTTCTTATGTTCTTTCTCTTGGGCTGGTGATGAGCCACCAGACAGGTTTGTTAGATCAGGAGGAGGTTATTGGTTCTTCAGGAACACCAAGTGGGACTTTGCATTTAAGTAACAGGCATGAGATGTGTGAGGTTTTTGTTTGCATGCAATTAACAAATACCCTTTGGCATTGAATCACATGGATTAAAAGTTATGTTGCATAAAAGAGGATGTTACTATTTTGGGAAGTCTTGTGTGTGTATTTTAATATTTTTTACATTCTTTTGCTGATGTGAAAGTGCCCAATTGAAGTTACTCAAAAAAGAGAAATAAAAACCTAATGATCTACAACTGACCCATAAAGGGGCAGACTTCCAAGAAAGAGTGGAATCCTTGGAATTCTTTCCCTGTTATATTTTTGGACTTAGGCTATGTTTTGAAGGGTTTTTTTCCCTCTTCCAGCTTTAAAGCAATTTACTTACACCTAGAGAAATTTGAGACTCTGCTTGTTGAATTCAAAGGAGACAAAACTGATTTGATGCTGTCATAGATCTCCTTTGTAAAATTGCATGTCAAGAGTTAAATAACATACTGTTAATTTTTTACCAGCATTACTGTTTTAGACTAGGATTATCCAAAAGGCTCTAATGAGATCATTAAGGCCCCAGCTACACCAAGCAGCTCCTGGGGAAACTGGGGTTTTGAAACTCATGCTTCTTAGTTCATTTAAAAAGTCAAAACATCTTGTGTTTTATTTTAACTACAGGTTGCCTTTGCTTGGTTGATACAATAGCAGAAGATCCAGAGGTTCTGCAAGGAGATGCTCAAACATATTATGAAAAACTCTTGAAGAAATCATTGCCCACTGCTGATGTTTTTTCCATCCCTGGAGGACAAGAGGTATTAGGCTGATGTTTTTCATACTGCAAGTTCGATACTTGGAAATTAGTTTGTTGGTTGTGCTCATTGTCTGTGAACAGGGGTAAACTGGTGTGGCTGGATTGCAGATCTCTTAAAATCATCAAATCCTGCATTATTTCATAGTTTGCATGCTGTAAATGAGAGATGAGCTTCAACTGGAAGAGGGTTTGGAGTACTTAGGTGAACTTTGCATCTTGACCTGCCTCCTTACAGGACTGGATCAAAAGTAAGTTGGTCGAGATTTATGCTGTGGTGCAGCTCTGTTATTCCATCTCTTGTGCAGTTTACACAGGTATTGTGACACAGCCCATTGTTTGTTTCCATTCTTTCCAATACTTATATTGATAATTTTGGCTATGGTTTCTCCCGAAGGAATTCTGATCAGCATAAATCCTATAGGTGCCAATGCTTTAGGGTCCATTCCTAAGCCACCTGGGGGAATGCAGGTGACTGAACAGGCCTATTAAAAATTTTTACATCAGTCAACCTATGAAACCTTTCATTCTAGATCATAAAAGGTGTGTTGGGCTACCTGTTATTGTACTGTAAAAGCAGAAATTGGATTAGGTGAAATAAATGTTTGCAATAGTGTGGGTTTTCTGCAGTTTAGGAATAGGATATGTAGTAGTTTCCAGAAAAATGCTGCTCCAGGTGGGTTCAGCTTCGGCTTGAACTGGGAATGTAACTGGGTTTAAATACTCTTTTAATGCCCTCTAGTGGACCTTGTAGGGTTAAATACAAACAGACCTGAAAATGCAAAGATCCCCCAGTTTAGGGCTTCTGTGTCCTTACCTCGGCCTTTCGTGCCTGGTTGTACTTTTGGAAGCTCATTTGCTGCTCCATTAGACGGGAGGGGAAGTTAAAATCCCGACAGTGCTGTGTGTGTGTTCCTGCAGTGGCTACACACGGTGAGAGCAGTTAAAGGTGGACTTAGGGCTTTTGATTCACAACTGTCTTTGCTTTTGTGGCTTGTCACCAGCCCTTAAATATATCACATGACTGATTTGAGTCTCATAGCAACACATTTCTCTTTGCATTCATTTAATTCAGGTCTAATCTAATCTGCAGTCAGACAGCTAGTCAAGGGCACAAGTGATGCTAATGTTCTTGCTGTATTGTCTTTTTCCTTATACTCTATAATAAATAGCTCAAAGAATGTTGATATTTTGTAATTAAAAATGAATTAAATATAATAAGGTGAAGCTTCCATTCCCAGTGAACATCCCAGCTGACAATGTCTGTTATATACCTGCAACCTGGAGGATGAGGATTTTGGTGTTTGAATACTGCATTATCAAGCTGCTTTTTTTTTCCCCCTCTGCATCTGAATTAAAGCAGGTTTCAAGTGGCAGGACTGGCAAGTGTGAATAATTATTTAGCAGGAGTTAAGTGGCTGTCAGTCCCCCTTGCTCGGGTCACAGAACTCCTTTTGGGTATGGCTTGGTCAGGCATTCAGGACACAAATAGCCAGGATTGTTGCAAGTCAGGATGGGAGCATGTTGGCAGCAGCCACACACAGAGCTATGCTTGGCTCCTGCTGGTGTTGTTAACACCTGTGAAAGTGCACATTACCTTATCAAACAAAATAACAGCATTGGGAGTAGTCCTGGCCTTTTAATTATGGTAATGCTCCCAGGTGCCATAGTGACATTGATGCTGTTATGTTTGAAGTGTGCAAAGAGTGACTGAATCCCCAGAACATACTGAGATTTAGGCAAGCTCATGAATACAGTTTTCAAGCAGTTTACAGGTTTTTTTTTCCTGGAGTCCAGTGTTTGCAGAGATGATTCCAAGATTCTGGCACCCATAAACCAGCAAACAGTGGTTTCAATTTAAAGTTGTTATCCTGAATAATCCATATTCATACTCTTTCCGTGCACCAAGAAATATTAAATGTATCACATGAATGATTTGAGTTTCATAGCAAACTGACAAATGGGTGCAATTAGAGAGAGAGGCACACCCACACATACACAATGGACCAGATTTTGGAAAGTACAGTACATACTGTGCTAAGTCATGCACACTCTTTGCCTGTACCTAAACTTACATGACAGCATTTGCAATATTCATATGGAAATCGTCATTTCTATGCATATAGAGCTGTTTGAGCACAGTAATTTTGTGTTTATGTGTCACATCATGTAGTCTAAGACCAAAAGCTTGAGAGCTGCATTTTGATTTTAGCTTTGCCTTCAACTTAACTACCTTGTGCCAATTATCCACCCTCCCTGTGCCTTGCAGATAAACTGCCCAGGCACTGCCCTAATGCTTTGATACTCCCTGTACCCCGAGGCTTAATTCATTGTTTGCAAAACACCACAAGTGCTCAGCTGGAGGATGCTGTAAGAAGTGCAAGTTGTATTTGTTTTCATTTGATGTGTCTGGACTTTCATAACACCATTTGTCTGCGTGTAGCTGTTCAAAGCCAGGTTATGGACTAACCACAGCAAGTCAGCATTAAGGGCTTTGCTAAACTTCAGTAGCTTGATTTCTTTTAAATTAACATTACTTATGGATAATATTAGAGTATTATATATGTTTCAGTGCCTTGAAGTTGAGGATTGAGAGGGTGTTGAGCTGAGTTTGTACCCTGCATGTCAATAAAACATATTGTAAGTGCATCTGATACATGAAATACTTCTGGTGAGCTTTGGAGTACAAACAGCTACAGGGCTTGTTTGTTTTTTAGGTTAAACTTGAAGATTCCTGTGTGTGTTTTGTCCCCCTCTACCGAAATAATCCTACTTGCAAACTGTTGCTGTTAACTGATCCAAAGGATAAAGAGACAGGTTAGAATTGGTCAAAATATTTTGAAATTTGAGTAGTTGTACTTTCTTTACTTTTAAGATGATCTGTTTGTTTATACATTTAAATATTCTGGGTTTTGTTTTGAATGTGAAGTGGATTCAGTTTACCTATCAAGGATTTGTGATGATGAGCTGCTGATTAGAAGGAAAAATTGACAATCAGAGCTTTTAAATTCTGTGCATAAATTCTCTGCTGGTAGGAGAAAAATCACCTTGGAAAAATCTGTTACTCTTTCTGACTTTATTCGATTGGGGTAATATTTTTCTAATTCAGGATGATGTACATTGTAGTTTGGATAGAATTCTGAAATCCTTAAGCAATAAAATACAGCTATGAAATTGTATTGCTTCTTACTCATTCTTATCTGTATATTTTTTTTTTATTTATGATATTGTCTTCAGTCCTAGGTTTAATTGCCTTTTATTTGCAGTATTGGTGTGTGAGGAGTATCTGCTGGTGCACAGATTAGATGAGGAGTGTTGGAGCTGTTGTGAAGCAGTGGGCTGTGGAATTTTTGGAGCATCTACAATGGAGACATGAACCTTTGCATTGACCCATTGTGTCGCTTAGGAAATGCAGAACACATGAAGCTTCTTAAACTTTCAGCTTCCAAATGTGGCAGCAAACTAATGACATCTGTCTTTAAAAGTATACTTTCTTTTTAAAGGATAAGCCATAAATTATGCCTGAAAGGCCTTACTAGCCAGTATTCTTAATAACAGAACAAAGGCAAGGCACAAAGTTTGGCGCTCTGTGTTCAGTTCTGAAGTGTGTCAGGTAATGATCTTGCACTCCCAGAACAGGTTCTGTTACTCTAAGTAAGTGTTCATTGTTCAGTCCAAACCCCATAACCAGGAAATTTCTTCAGAAGAACAAAAAGCAGATTAAAATCATCTGTGGTTGGAGGTGAACTCTGCAGTTTCCCAGCTCCTACATACGATTCCAATTGGACATTTGCTAATGGGTTATGATTCACACAGTTGAAGGTAGGAGACCTTCCCAAGTTACAAATGTAGTCAAAAGACTTTCTGGTCCCTCTAAAACTGTTGATGTTGACTTCCTTTCCTGCTATTAATTTATATATTCCATTAATATTTTCCTGAAGAGACATACAGGCACTGGTGTGATAAAGGAGAGAAGTGTCTACACTGGAGGCCAGACTTTCTCTGAGTGCAGTTGTTCACACCTCCTGACTCATATTCAAAGGAATGTAGTTGAAAACAGCAGTGAGTTAGTTCAGGCTGCACAAGAGGAATTGGGATCTGTAACTACAAGGCAAAAATAAAGAATTATTAAATAAATGCAGGTGAAAGTGCATTTAGCACAGCTCTTCAGTTAAATGATCTCATAATATTAGGAACAACAAGTATTAATGAGATACATGCATATAAGGAAAATGATTTCTCAGAGGAACAAGTCAAACAAGTCCATGTTGGAGCCTAAATTACATGATAGCTGTCCTCATTAAAAGCTTAAACCTGGCAGAATAAACACCTTATTATATTATAAACAACAGCTTGACTGACTGCTGTGACCCCCTTGCAAAACTTCAGCTTAAGTTACCAGCCCATAGTCACAGAAACAGAGAGCTCAGTAAGGTCTAATTATTTAAATAAGGCCTACATTACCTGGCTTTTAATATTTCCTTCTAAAAGTATGATTTAAAGGATTTTTACTGGAAGTTCTTTGTTTCTGGATTCTATGTGCTGTAAACATGTGGCCAGCCTTCCTACACACATCAAATTCGATGTGATTTTTGTTTTTGTTAGATGATTTTTAATATATTTCCATGAGTTCTCTAAAGCCTGCTGAGATGTGTGTGTATGTTGATCTCTTCTCTTCTCTACCTGTCCACTGCCTCTGCATTTTAGTTTTCTTTCATACCAGGGGTGCTTCTAGAAGCAGATTTCCTGGTTGTCCCCACGTACGGTGTTTCAGTTTGATGGCATTTAATTCTTGAACATGGGTTAAAGAGGGGTGTATTCCACCACTGAGCTTTATATCTGATGATCTTGATCACATGGGTTGTCCAGAAGTTGATGTGTAGCTTGTGGTCTGAAATGATCTGCATATTTCAAAGAGAAAATGGGTATGGCAGCTTTTCCATAGGACTTGGTCTTGGTTGGAAGCATTTTTAATTTATTTTTGATGGGCTGAGTGCTGTGTTCTGTTAGTATATCTGTATAGAAATTTTTATGAGAATGTAAATTGTATTGTAAGAGCCTACAGAGCATAACATGGGTGATTAACATCTTTATAACACTAAATAAACATACCTTATTGTGGCATTTTCTGTGTGCTGTATATAATAATTCACAATAACTGTTAGATGCCTTGGAACATTTATCACAAGACATTTGCCACAAATCACTGAGTAAAACTTGAATTATAGAAGACCATGTAGCTGGTTGCAGGAAAGATAATCTGAGGTACTTGAGTGGCTGCCATTCCTGCAGCATCTGCCTGCCTCCCAAGCTTTAGCATATTTATTTAGACAAAACTCTTAGGAAAGAGAGGAAAATGCTCTTATTGCATTTTAAAGACAGGACCCAGCTGCAGAACACGGTTTGATGTAGGATCTCCAGTATCAGAGCTCACCTAGGCCTGGTTGCATGGAACTGCTTGTTGGAGTGATTTACCATCCTCCTTCCAATGTGGAAATCTGGCAAAACCAACTTCTGTAAGTGTGCCATCAATTTGAAATACTGTCAGAATTAGGGTAAAGATCACTTTATCTAAGATAAAGAAGTGGTAAATTCTATATTTATTAAACTCAAATTACATCTTTCCTATATATTGTTGCCTTTATTTAGCTTGGGATTGAGGGATGTGTTTCAGCAGTTCAGATAAGGCAGGGGAAAAAGAAGGACCAAGCTGGATGTTGCTTTATTTTTATTTCTTTACTCTCTTTGTAGAGTCCTGATGTGCACATTTCATTCAAATAGTTGCATACCAGTGTGGGAACATTTGGAAGTAAAAATCTAATCCAGGCCTGAGTTGGGAAGGGATCCATGTTTGCCTAGCAAAAGGAGACCTTTCATAATCACAATTGCATTATTCTCAGTGCCTAATTCAGCTCAGTACTGGGTTCCAAATACCCCTGTGCTGTGGAATCGTGTGCATCTTGCAACACTGAGTATGTCTGACTGCAAGTGATGAAAGTACTGAGGTTTAGCAAGCTGGGGCTTCCAGGGCAAACCACCCACCTGAGCATGTATAAACTCCATTAATTGTGACCTGAAATGCTTTGGACTTGATCCACTTCACCTGGTCTTGCAAGTGCAAGATCAAGCACATCAAGTCTTACAGTTGCAAGGTCATTGTAATCATGTACGTGGTGATTCACAGGGTTCAGGTGATGTGTGTTGGCAACAACTCAATCTCTCATGATCAGGTGAACGTAACCCAATGTCTTGGAAAGAACAGCAGGACTGGGAAAAGAGAAGGAACATGTGGTCTCACAAATCATGTTCGCATTTGAAATAGTGCTCCTCCAAGTTGATTATAAAATGAAAATGAGAGTATGGGGAAGCATGGATGGATTTAACTGCAGACCAGATGTTGACTTGAAAAATGATAACAAAAAGCGAAGTACATATGTTTGTGTGAAATCTGGAGAAATGTTTTTCCTTCAAGGAAGGCATCCATATAGATAAGGTTGCTCAAGTAATGTGATGTGACAGTTGCTATGTCAACTAGTGTTCCCTTCCATACATTTAAATTATTGAATAGCACAGTAAATGTTCTATAAAAGTAACTCCTTCCAACATGGTTATGCATCTTCCTATTTTCCTCAAAGCCTTTTTAAACTTCTCTGACCTTTACTGTGTGTCTTGTATGTCTGAGCTGTGTGCCAAACCTCTGTGCAGCTCTCATTAAAGTCAGCATTTGGCCTGTAATGTCCCCTTTGTGTGACTCAGCTCCCTTTGTAGCTGCATGTTTCATGGATGTGTAATGGAGCAGTGGCTGCTGCATTTGAAAGCAGAGGGAAGGGTTTGAGGGAACAGATTGAATCCATCACACAAAGGGTATGAAACTCCCATGCAAGTAAGTGCATAATATTTAATGAATTGAATCTGGTGCTGTAAACAGGCATCTGCCCTTGCGTGCAGTGCTCCTTCCTTGTTAACCCAGTGCACAAAGTGTGATGCTTTCTGGCACATGCTTTAATAATTTATTTGGAATATAAGTTAGCTAAGCCTTAAAGCCAGTGGGAGCAATAGAGGCTGAAGGAAAAAAGGAAACCAACCTGTGTGCATTGGTGACATTTGTATAACCTGGAGCTAAAACAGGTAAATGATGAACCCTGTCCTCAAAGTCACTTCACTTCCTTGTGTGTGAATTTGTCTCTAACTCATAGATGGGTTTGAACTTTCTTGTGTTTGTCCTTTGTTGGGTGGATTTGAGAGCCAGTTGATGGAGCTGTCTTAGGACTCAAGAGGTGTGAGCCCTGTGCTGTTCTTGGCCATATACTTCCTGTATTATATATTATCTTTTTGTCTAAAAATGGGCATGCTAGCTGCCCAATTTGATCGTAGTAAAGATACTGGTGTTCTTGAGCAATCCTGAAATTGTGGCCATGTGCTTTCGTGAGGTGAATGTCACCACTGTGCAGACAATAAAAGTTCTTCTTGCTGAAATATTTTCTTTGACGTGTTTGTGGTCATAAATGATGAGACTTCTGTGTTTATTCTAAAACCTCATCTAAACCCTTAAAATCTTTTCTCTATCCTTTGAAATGACCCCATGTCAAAACTTTTCTTTCTTAACAGGGCTTGGGAGTAATTTCAGTGTCGCTGTTGCTGCTTCAGTATTTTTCTGGTAAATCTATTGGCAGGCAACAAATTCTGTAGATGAACATGTAGGAGTAGGGTTTAAGTACTTGTTCCTGCATATGTGAAAAATTGAGGAAGGATGAGAAGAAGTGGGGTGCAAGTTTTGCATGGCACCTACGTGAGGACCTGACTTACGTAGGTTGATCATACGCTTTTGCTTCAGGGCAAAGTGTATCTTATTTATGTGTGTATTTGTCTGTCCTTTGTTGATAGAAACCTCTCTGTGTGCATTTTGAAACTCTGTGAATATCTGTCTGTGATTTAGGAGTCTGTACTCCAGAGGTACAGAGAGAGAGAAATTCAGTCACATAGAGAGCTGTTTGATAAAACAGATATGAGAACTTTTGTGTTTGACTTGCATGAGTGCAAATGTGGGCACTCAAATATATGCAAATATATGTGTGTGGGCAGGGGAAGGTCTGAAAGAACCTTCAAAACACTAACCTTTAGCCAGGTAGCTCCTCTGTCCCAAATGCCACTCAAACCTACTCTGCTACTGAACTTATTATTATGCAGGAATTGCTTTGTTCATGTGGCATGCACGTTGTCACACTGAAGTCACATCAATTCCTGAGAAAAATTACCTTCCCTTCATGCCTTGTGTGGTACTGAAAATTGGAGCAAGGGATGTGGAGGAGAAACTGAAATACGATTGTTCTGCTGTCTCACAGCAGATCAAACTGCAGTCAGCTGGAAGGAGGAGTAGATCTGAGGCTGCTGGTGGAAAGGTTCAGAACCTACTTTGTATCTGCAGGTAACGTGTTCCCCTGTTTTTTTCTTGTTGTAGTCTTGGCAGTTTATTTGGGCCGGCGTTGGTGGCCTGTTGAAGAGGTGGTGAAGACGGCTGATCCTGCTAGAGATGGGCTGCTTTTGGTGAGGATGCTGTTTTAAACAGTTGCCTTTGCCCTGGAACTTCCCAGCCAGAGCAATCTGATGTAATTGTCTCTGGCCTCCTACAGCTCCTGCTGTAGGACCTGTGGGATCTGGGCTCTGTGGCTCACCAGGTACTTCATGTCTCCATTACAGTGACATGCACCTTTAACCCTCTCCAAACAATTTTCTGTGTGCAGTTTATGAGTCACCTGTGGGATTTATTTTCTTCTGTTTTTTTTTAGTTTACTCTCACTGCCTACTAAAGGAATAATTAGATAAACTGAATTACTACATTAGCAATAATTTCACATGTTACTGTTGCTTGACTGACTGTCTGGTGGGAGGTGTTACTACCCTTTGGAGCAATGTCTTATCTAGCTAGTTAGGATTTTTTTTTCCTTGGATAATGTTGATACATTTTATGAAATGGTTGTTATTTAATAGTTTCTGTATCAATAATTCTTTTTCCAAATAAATTATTATAAGAGGATAGAGCTACTTTTTCATAATTCGAAGGATTTGAGTAGCCTGTTTTCAGCTGAAAAGTCAGATGCCTGCTGCATGTGAGCTTGTTGTTGCCATGAGGTTATTAAGTCACTTTTGTTTCATACCAGCCCTCTGTATGTTTGGTCCTGAATGATTCCATTTCTTGATCATCTTTCCCTAATATCTGTCACACATAGAGTTTAATTACTCACAGAATTAAATTGGCTTTTTATGGGTAACTGAACTGGAGGGATTTTGGGATCCAAATCCTTGCAAGATAGAACTTGGAGCACAAACACAGGCCTTGAAGCTTTAAGCATCTGCTGTATCAACAGAGAATGAAAATAGTATCTGAAAATAGAAACCTTGCCCCTTCTAGCTCATTGCTAAGAGGTAAATTGTCATTATTTGGGAGAACTCTCATTTTCTTTTTCAGCATTCATGTGAAGCTTCTTGGCACCAGTTTTTACCTTGATGGCCAATGTGATCTTGTTTCTTTATATTCTTCATCTCCCTGTCCTGTTGGTTGTCTTGGAAGAAACACAGCACAAATTGTTCATGTTACAGCTGGATTATATGATATTTGGGACAGACTATTCATCTTCTGTTTTGTTTAGTGTCTACCTCAGTAAGGTCCTGGCCCACTAAAGCTCTTTGATGCTGTGGCAAGACAGGTAATGGGGAGAGGTGACCAGGCCAACACAGTGAATCCTATCTTTATTCCACTTTTGGGTAGGATTAGATTGCCTTGATCCCAGTTCCAAATCTGTGACTGGTTTGCTGTGACTACAGTCAAGTTACTCCTGCTGCTTTAGAATTCCTCTCTGTGACAACAGGAGATATGTCAAGCCTTATAAATAAATAGGTACTAAATTATTCTATGCCCTCTGGATAGAGGGTGAAACACTGGGAAAAACTGTTTTTGTTATTCCAGCTGAACCAATTCATGAGGTATTTTCCCCAAATTAAGTGTACATGTTTCCTGACCTCCTCCTTCCCAGCCTCTTTTGATTTTGAAACCTTTTTTATGAGATGCAAAATACTGTTCTCTGCCTCATTTTTCTTTGGTCTGTTTTTGTTTGTTCTCTAAGGTCCAGACATTTGCAGAAAGGATTGTCCTCTTTGTTCTGAACTACATTATTTTTGGAATGCTGGAAGGGAGTTCAGCTAATGATGCATTCTTTCTACCTCACTCTGCCACCGAGTGTGCCAAGATACTCTGGAGGAACGGCGAGGCTGTTGCCTTTTACTCGGTCAAGATGAAAGGTAAGGTCATTTCAGAGACACATTTCCATTGGTTCCTAATAGCTCCAAATGTAATCCTTTTGTTTATCTTTCAATATAAAAAATCTCTCAGAATTAATCTGGGGAACAAACCCTCCCAGAATTTGGAAGCCATCCATGTGACTTTCATTTAAACACGATGGTTCCAAAGCCTCTCCTCAGTTATGCTGAGCAATCCGAGGCAGTGGCTTATCCCAATAAAATGGGCTTTAATGCAGCCAAGTAGAAGGTCATATATCTAGGAACAAAGAATGTAGGGCCTATCCACAGAATGGAGGGCTGCATCCTGGAAAGAACGATCTGTGGAAAAACAGTGTATTGAGAGTGGGTGGTGGAAAGAAGTGGAAGGCTCCTTGGATGTGTAAGGAGCAGTGGCTGGATTGTGTAGAGGAAGGTGTGTGCACTAGATCAGTCCTGAAATGCTTTGTCCAGTTGTACTCCCAGTTTAAAGGATGGTGATTAATTAATTTTGTGATTGATGAACTAGCATAGAAAAGAAACAAAATTTTAGTTCTTTAATGATACTTGATGAGCTTTAGTGAAGGTCTTTTATTAAACAGAGGGTTTGTATTGGTGCAGGCACATTGCTGTTAACGAGGCTGGAGTGGAAGAGGCTTCATTAGAATAACTCCAGATATGCAGTTGAGTGTGTGCCCCCATGTAGGAGCTGGTTACCAGTGTGTGTTTGATTCATCTTGATACCAGCAGCTTAAATCCAGAGAAGGTGGAATCTTTGGAAGTAAAATGTGTTGTCCAAGTCAGTGCTCAGTAGCCATCCATCCAAAATGGGAGAATAAGAAACAGCTTCAGAGCTGCACAGAGATGGTTTGCTTTGGATTCCAGAGGAATCCAGAGAGATGGTTACCAGTGTGAAGGTACCTTCTCTTCTAGATCCCAAAGGCCAGCAGCAATAAGATGTTCTGCTCTTCAGCTGCCTTGGGATGGAGAAATCCTTATTGACAGAGAGGTGTGGCTTGTACAGCACCATGGCTGTACAGTGCTGCTGTACCATCAGTGATGAATCAGGACTCAGCCCATGATGAAGGAGCCTTGGCTGTGTCTGTGGTCATGCTGATGAACTGGTTTGTAATGGCAAACACTTCATTGCCATAGTACATTTTCCTTTAAGTCAATAAATATTCCTGAGCAAAGCTTTTGGAAAGAAACACTTGTATGGGCTGTAATGATTCATACTTCAGTAAAATAAATGTGCACAGTAGTCTGTTATGGGTGGAGTATTAGCCAAGTTGAAACTGTTTCTGAGTAAGTTGAGAGTCACAGTTTGGTTTTAAATCAGGTCCACATAAAATACAAATCCTTCAAGTCCAGCTTTGTCAGCATCTGCCTTTTCTTGCCAGTGTTTTTTTTCTCTGGGCAGCTATATTTGTTAGTTTTTGGCTTGTGTCACAAATTACTGCAGTCTTTTGCCAGAGCCTTTTCGGGAAGCTTGAAACTGATTGTTTTTGCTGCTTTTTGCAATTTGATGTACGCATTTAGAAAATAATTCCTCTTTCTGAAGTTCTGTGATTTCAGTTTCATACCAGCCATGCTCTGGCTGATCCCATTCTCTCTACTTTTTAGAAGAGCCCTGGATTTATTAGGCCCAAAAGAGACTAAGATAAATATCTTCACTTAGAAGTTGTATTTCACATGATTGGTTTAGATGTTTGTTGTTGTTGGTTTTTTTTATTTTTTTTTTTTTAAATCACAGTGTAATTTCTTTTTGTTTTTACTGTCCTGGTCAGAACATTTAGCAGGGGTGGGTTTAACTACAGGACTTTATATTGTGCTGGGCCTCTCTTACAGCTTCTGATCCTAGGAAGAAATTATTTACCTCTGTGCCCCCATGTGATTCTGATTCCCTTTATTCTTATGCTTTGCAATTACCTGGCCATTCTTTGTGGCTTTACGTTCTTAGTAATTGAGACTCTCGTATTGATGTCATTTTCAACTGTATTTCTCATCTGTGAATTTTCCATTATCTACAGCACGACAAAAACATGCTTCAGTGGAGCCAAATAAGGCAGAACTGCTCTGTGGAGCCTGGCTGTTTCAAACATAAGTCTTCTGGGTGAATCATAGAAATGGTGACCAAGGAGGAGAGTCTGTTCTATCTTTACGACAGATTTAATGTGCCGTTGTGCAAACTAAATTTTCAATGGACTTCAGTGATTCCAATTAACTGTCTTGGCACTATTGTAAAGTCATTTCCATTTGCCAGTTCCTAGGTGGCCTGTACAAAGTGAACTTGGTAATTTTGCTCCAGTGCCCTGCTCTCATCCATCTTATGAACATCCTTAACTGGATCTCTTTTTTAATAGTCCAGCTAAGGAGGGACAGATGGTCTTGAGCACCCGTCTCGCTCAGAGATGCAGTAAGTGCAAGTCAAGGTTCTGAGACAGTTTGGCACCTACTGGCACTGGCCATCCTGCACCTGTTGTGTAGAATAACAGAAGACTCATTCTTCAAGGCTATCACTTTTCCTGAGCATTAGACACCTTTATTAAAGCAAAATTTATTCATGACTACACAGATCATCAACTTACCCTCTCTGGTATGTGCCTATTCCTGTCCAATGACAGGCATGCAGCATTTACCACTGGGTATACTAAAGATTGATGAGATGTACTAAGCCACTAATGAGGCTGATAAGACACTTTGTCACGTGCCAAGATAAATGTCTCCAGTTTTATCTATGTCAGCAGCCTCCATATCAGACAGCTGAGGAGTTAGACCTCACTAAATGTAGCTACTTAAAGGTACAACAGGAAATGACAGTTCCCCGCTCCTGTACCTTTCTCTGCAGACAGCAACATGAAAATTGAAATATTTTGCAGAAAGCCTTCCTATAGATTCTCGTGTTTTCAGATCTCGTGTTTACAGTATTTACTTCATACTCTAAATCTGTGTGAAAACCCCAAAAGAATGTGTTTTTTGTAGTGATGTAGGATTAATTGCCACGGTTACTGACACTGCTTTTGTGCAGTGAGACCATGTAATTCCCTGGAAGTTTTTCTTTTTTTATTTACTGAGGACTAGTAATTACTGAAAGTGGACTTTTATACCACTTTCACATAAATGCCAGGAGAATGTAGAATATTCATGGTACATATAAATCACTGAGGAAGTTGGAGGGTGCAATGAGCCAGGAATGTCTTAGTCCCTTTAAGAGCAAAACAGAACAAAATTCCTTTTTTATGTACATCCTTTTCCCCCTACTGTTAAATATATTACTGTTTCTTTAACACACAGGAGCTGCCCAGCTGTGGATCAAGCAAAGGAGTCAGGTTGTCAAAGCTTGTCCCTTCCCTCCTGACAAACCTTAGCAGTAAAAGTGTGGAGAAGGATGGTGTTCCCTGTGATGTGAATCAAACCAGCCTTAACCAAATCGAGTCCTCTGAGAAGGCTGTAAAACATGCACTTGAATCAGGAGTAAATGCATTCTTGGCTTCTCATTCATTCTTTAGAGATGCTCCACAAGGCACAGTTTGGGAAAACCTGACTGCAAAAACTTTTAAGCTGACATAGAGTCGGCAGCAAAGCAACCCTGCCTCAATCTCTGCTTTTCCCTGCCCCAGAGCCTTAGAGATGGTCTTTGGAAGTGGCTCCCCAGGCAAAAATCCATTTCACGCCTTTCTTCATACGAGCCTTTGCAGATTTCTTTTGATACTTTGGTGGCTCAGGTGCTTTCTCTGGAAGTAGATCCTTAAAAAGATAGCAGGATTTTATTTTTCACTGATTACATACATTTCTTTGAAAAAAAAAAAAAATCAGAATTGAAGCTAACCTGACAGAGAATTAGCTGGAATCTTGTTGGATAATTGCTTTTGTCTCCCTCTGTTTGCTAGCAATAATATTTTTAATGTGCGTTTCTGAGGCAGATTGGAGGTTCTGGCTGTAATAAAAATGAAATGACTACATACCAGTCAAGACATGAATTCATTTAATTTTATTGAAGCCAGAACCTTTGTTCCCCTTCTCACATACAAACTCACACAATGGGCTGACCTTGGGTTCTACTCTGCAGGAATATTCCCCACCCTTTGCACAAGCACCCGGCCTGCTCGGGGCCTGTCCAAACATGTGTGTGCCAAGCCAACTTGTTCAACAGGGAAACAGTCAGTGTGCACAACCTTGTTTTGTTTGGGTCTGTTGGATGTGGGGACCAGATTGCTGGTTTTTTTCTGGTTTGTGGCTCTTTGGGAATGCTGATGGCCGTCTGCTTCCCTGCCCGTGTAATATCTGTTTGCCGTTTTGCTGGCTCCGGAGTTGGTCATTTGGCACTTGTGACCTGACCAAAGAGATCAAAGGCTTTCAGAGGGCAGACTGCATGAATGCTTCCATCTCCATCAGCAGTGCCCTTGTTTCCCCTGTCTCCTGCCTCACCTCAAAACTGTGTTTGTTTGTGTGTTCCAACAAAGAAACAAACCTCTCAACCAGATGTGTGAGAGCCCGGTGGTCACCTCCGGGCCACCATCAGCTTACAGTAACCTCTGTCCATTGGATGGGAACTGGGGACAAAGTGGCCTTTGTTCCAAAGGTTGGTTTGTTTGTTTATTTTATTTCAAATGCCTGTGGGCTATGACTCTCCTAATATGTTTCCCAGGGACAAGGTGAGGAATGGCTTCATGGTTTCTTTTATTTACAGTGCCTTTAGACATGACAAGTTTTTGTCATCTTCTCAACACAAAATTAGGAGCACAGACATAAATCACGCTGCTCCTGGGATTGCTGCACAGCAGTCTCGGCAGGATTTATAGGAGACAGATTATATGAGATAATAATAAACTTATAAGGACACTTGCAACGTGTAGGAATCCTTAAAGAGTTCATGAGGAAAAGTTTGTGCCTTTCTTAGAACGTATGGTGCAACTCTGCTGGGATCCAACATCTCTGTTGGGTTGGCAGCTAACAATGGGACCGGGGATATACTCAATTTTTTGGCTCGTGAAGAAAAAGAGTAACTACCCATCATGTGTTACAAATATTGGAAGGTTATAAACACCACCACAACCCAGCCTTTTCCAACAATGTGCTGAAACATGTGTTTGAAGTTAAGCATGCACTTTGATTAAGCAGGAGTGAACAAAGCCTGGATGTCAATGGGTGGTTATGTAGCTACATACTCTTGTTGTATGGCTCAGATGTGGATTGTTGCTAAATGAACAGCTACAACCTTGACAAATCAGTGTCTGGAATTAAATATAATCATGTATTCTGTGCTGAATTGGCATCCTAGAAAATAGAGTAATCAAATTCAGACCTGGTGAGTATCAGCAAAAGGTACTGGACACCAACTCAAGGAGCAGAAGTAGATCTCAGTTTAAGATAGTTAGGCAATGAGATAAAGAAAAAACAGATCTATTAAATAAAAGTCTAATAGTGGGATTTAGGAACAGCCATTTAATAGAAGATAGTGAAACTGTGAAATAGGCCTTAGTGAAGTGATGAAAGTTTCATGTCTCAAGACACTGAAAACTAGACCGAGTGGTCCACTAGTAAGTAGTAGGAAAGAAAATTAAGAAGGTCTAGATGAGATTTAAGCAACAAGGTATGAAAATGTAATCTTTTTCTGTTGTAAAGGCTGGGCCATCCATTTGTATTTGAACTGACGTGTACCCAGATAGAAGCATCATAAAATTTTCATAAATATTTTCTAAAAATGAAAATAAATGAGTGAGATGTTTCTATGCTGACCTTATCCTATATGTAGGTAGTTGGTGAACTGATGTTGGTCATTCAGTTCAGGGTTGAGTGCTTATGCTACAAAGTAGTTGAAGGTTCTGTTTTTATGGTGTTCTGCACTGAATGGAAGTTGTTCAGTGAATTGCTAATGCATCTCCTGCAATAGGACCCTAGGTTGTTTAGGGTGAACATCGAAATTTTGGACACTGAATGTCTTTTGCTAATCAACTTTCTCTTGACTCCAGTTTGAGTTTACCATTCATGATTGCAAAATAAATCCCTTGGTTCTAATTTTTTTTTTTTTTGACAATTTTCACTGGAAACTGAGTTTTAGTACTTTGGAGGGTTATACTTGAGTGTGTGTTTTGTCCACATGTAGAGCATTATGTCATGTCCCTGTGATTTCAGTTGACTGACTTAATGTGTTTATTAGCAAGGGCTGTCCTTGAGTGAAACTCCTGGTTTAACACTGGTGGTGGCAGTTCAAGCAATGGACTATAGGAGCACGTACATTTGTGATAAACTACCTCTCAGTAGAAATGGAGTGACTTATAGAGGAGCTCTTACAGTGCTTTCTTAAAATGCACCCCTCAGTTGTTTAGGGTTTTACACCCAAATGCTTTAATTAATGTACTCCTTTTCCTACAGAGATGGGACTTTTGTGTGCTGCAGTATAAGGTTGAACCTAAGCTGCTGCTGTGAGTTTTATTGCTTGGATTCTACTCGGTGCTTTCTCAGACATGGTTCCTCCACTTTGGGAAGTCATTTGCTTCCCTGTTATGTTTCCCAGTTTCAGGTGGAGCAACCCCAACACTTTTTGTGTGGTTCTCTTACCAGCAAAGGTTTGAAGGTGACTCCTGGTCTGTGTTGACAGGTAACTAAGAGAGGAAATATTTTATTTTACACATGTCTTTAGAATTTACTGAACAAAGAGTTCAGAGGCTGAATATGCAGTAATGGGGTTGTATAACTGTGCAATTTTCTGAGCAGTGAGAGTCAGAAAGGAGGTGTAAATGATGGGGCCAGTTAAGTTTCATACTTCACAGCATTTGGGAAGGCACAACAGCAAAGTACACAGAGACCATGGGAGCCTTTCTTGTAGGAATGATTAGCTGTTTGAGGGCACAAATCTTCCTCTTGGAAAGTGTTTTACTGTCTGTGCAAATGCAGTTCTGTTGAGATCATCCTCCCAGCCTGTGGAGAGGTACCAGGGCAGTATCTATGGCTAGAATCACACAGCAGTTACCAGTTTTGTTAGCAAATTCATGTTTTTTTACCTTTCTGCTTTCAGGGAGCCTGTGTGATGGTACAACCAGTCAGTGTTACTTGCTGCCAGTCTTGGATACTATATTTGTCCGGAGAAAGTGCAGAAGAGGTGGCCTAGGGATGAAAATGCTGCATGATTTCTGTCAGTCTTTCCTGGCTGAGGATGCCTTGGGGATCAGCTGCCCTATTTCTGCTGCCATGTATCAAGGTAAATGGTTTGATGTGGACACGTTAGGTAAGGGTCATGTATAATGTATAATTTTCAATATGGTCTGGGTAAGATTGTCTTCACTGTGTAAGAGTTCAGTGCCCTTGTCTGAACCGAGCTGTTGTTAGTGTGCAACTGGTTACTTTTCCAGAGACATCTGGAATTTCCTGTAGAAAGGTAGGCCAATATTTATGTAAGACAATGAGAAGCATAAAATTCATACTGCCTGTTTGACATTTTGTGTTCTTATCTCACTCTCTTAGAACTATGTCATTGCCCTAGACAGGGACTTACACGTTTTATTTGACACCAGAGGGAAAAGAATCATAAGATGTCAAGCCCACACTGTGCACATAATGCTCTAGTAGATCCTGCATTTATAAGAAATTACATTTAATAAGCCAAATACCCAGGCTCTGCTCAGTCATCCAGTCACATCAGTACTTGTGTTGTATTGACTGTCTTTGAACATTTGTCACTTTTAAAGGATCACAAAGTAGTTACATATCTTCTCTGTGTTTAGGTCAAAGTTCTGCTTTTGCTAGCACAATTCATGGAAAGTATCTGTGCTCACATTATTTATAAAACCCTTTTATTTAGAAAAATATTTCTTTACTGAAGTTACTTTCTGTGGTCTTTACTAAATTTTTGGGGAGATGCTTTGATTGACTTACAACTTTACAACCATTTCCTAACAAGTATCAACAACATTTTGGCTCTGTTTTTTCTCTTGGTTATCATGTACCATTGAAAGTATACAAATATACCTCAGCAGGTACTTCTACTTCTAAATTCAGGAAGGGATAGTATTGACAACATTGCTTTTCTTCTCCCAGTAATATCCATTTTTCCTATGGCAGATGTCAGAGCTTTAGGCACCATGGATGAGAAAGCTGCATTTTTTATTTGTTAACACGAGCTTTCGTCTCAAGTTTAGAGCTAATAGTGAATAAATCTGACTTGCATCATGTTTTGATTAGGTTTTCTTTTATAAAAATACCAATAGTGTAAGTTAATTTTTGAGCATATTGAAGTCACTGTCTGTTTTTAGTTTCATTGGAACCACATTCTCATACTTGGATAAGTGAATGCAACCTTTTACTCTAAATCTCTGCACTAAGATCTCTGAAACTGGACAGTTTTCACCAGCTTGGTATTTAAGGTGCTGTAGAAGCCTAAAAGGAAGTAAAAAGCCATTTAGCAGATACCTGTATTTTGGTATATATGTTACTTTCAGTAGCTTTTATTGGAATGATTAATTTAGTTGGGATATCCTTGGATAAAATTAACGCCCCCAAGCTGCTCATTACTGTAATGTAATGTTTACATACATTAGGGTCTTGTTTTGCCATCCCATTGTTAAACTCAACTGAATACTGAAGATAAACTACCCATTTTGTATTATGGTGAACTACAGTGGACAGAGTGTGACAATAATTTTGTTGTTTACAGATTGCTGTCTTAGTGCAGTTGATGGAACTGATGAGATGATGGTTGAGGAAAATTTAAAAATCCCCTTTGAACTTTTGGAACTGTTTTTCCTACAGCAGGACATGTGCAGATGCTGCAGACATCTTAAGGAAGCTGCATATTTCAGTTTGATAACTGAAGCAAACCTAACTTTGATTGCTTACCCAAATTATATTGATGACCAGGGCTCATCAATGTACATGATTTCAAGTCCTGTCTTTCTGCACTCAGAAGGAGATAATCTAGACTGAAGCAGAGGGACAGGATTCACTCCTGCCTGTTCAGGCCATTCCACATAGACTTTTACTAAAAACCCAACTAAAACATAGAGGAGGAAATGAGAAAAGATTTCCAAAGGAACTAATGAAAATCGGTCTGAGAGAATTTCTGGGATAGAATACTCTTCCTCTGTACTTTGCACTCGTTCATACTTTTACCCCTTGGTTTCTCCTATTCAGTTTGCCAGAAATTCCTGCAGGTTTATCCCGAGGAGCAGAAGCGACTGTGGGAGGTGGAAGCACCGGGAGATTGGAGCCAACGAGCGAATATCTGGTTAAAAATTCAGATGGAGTTATTCCCTTCAGGAAGTGAGTTAAACCAAGCAGTCGTGAACTTGGCCATGGTAGTTACAGTTCTGTAAAGATAAGCATGTATGTAATCAAGGGTTGGGTGGTGATCACGGAAAGGTGGTGTCTCTGTTGGAGAAACTACTGAGTGTGCAGTCCAGCTCCCTCATCCTTTCACATTAAACAGGATAATTCTTAGAAATTATGAGGTAATGAAATGGAACCACAGAGCATCTGAGAGATACTGAACAAAGCACAGCCTTGGCATGAAGTGGCTGTAACTCCCATTGCAGTGCACTCAGAGCAGGGTAGAAGTTAGCCCCAAAAATTCCTGTTGCACAACACGGTGTCTGGGTTATAGACAGGGGTTTGTTTCTCTGAAATTGTTGCAAAAAAGAAATTTGTATGGCCAATGGGCAGTATATTTAATTACCTTCAACTGCTGCCAATACCATTCTTGGATGGGAACACAAACATTTTCATTATGGCTTTTGGAAGATTCCAAATACTCTCCTACAGGGTAAATCCTTCGTGCTGGGAGAATTTTCTGCCTACTTCACAAAAGATAGCAACAGAGTAGGGAAACTTTTTGACAGTTCCTATGTGGATCTCATTGGTATAATCTGTTCAGCTGGCTGGAGGATCCAGACAGGCCCCTCTGCTGCGTGCACACAAGCTGTGGTAAGCACTAGATTCCAAAAGAAGGGCACACACTGTCTCTTTCTGGAAGTGCAGCAAGGAGGGCTCCAGAGCAAATTGCTCCCATGCCTTCCCACATCCATCCTGCTTAGTGTTGGCTCGGGGACCTTCCGCTGAGACACTGCGTTTCATCTTGTCTGCAGCACCCACAGGAGAGTTAAGTCAGACTTTAGCCCTAGGCTGGGTTCCTCTGAAGCCAATATATCTGTGTTCCTCATGCTTTAAATCACCAAAACCTGGGGTTGCTCTTTCCTTTAATCCATCTTGCTAAGTGAAGTTTATTAATGGCAATTGAAGAGAACTGTGATCAGATCAAAACCCAGCAGATCCTGGAGGCGAGTATACTTTTCTTTTTTCTTTCTTCTTTTTGCCATCTTCTACAAAAACAAACAAACAGACAAAGAGAAACGACCCAAAACGTGGGTGAATATCATTCCACTGGAGTGGCTGTGAGTAAAAAAGACATGTGAGGCTGCACATAAATGACATGGTGTCTGTGTGTGCTTATATTTATTTATAAGGATTGCAAATTGCAATATGATCTTTATAGCGGAAGGGAGCAGAAGCAAGTGAGTTTGGCATTAAAATATATAATAAAAATCTGCTTTTTAATCTATGTCCTCCACTCTGGTGCACAGCTCACTGGGCATCACTCTTTACACTAATTGTAAAAGGCTTTATTTCATCCATCTTCAGTGGAAAATCAACCCACTATAAAACTAGGATTTGAAAGCGTGTGTTACATTTGTTGTATCTGTTTTTCATATGCAGTCTGCTTCTCATGCTTGTATTATCCCAGTACTGTGCATATTTTGCACCCAGGGAAAATACCAAGGGAGGGTAGAGAGCAGATAACACCTGCTGAAACTAGGGGAGAGTTTCCCTGCTTTTGCTTTGTCCTAAAGGCAGCCTTATTCTGTCTAATAGCCAGGGAGGAGATAGCAAGAGAGTTGTCTAAGGCTTTTTGCTGTCTGTTAGTGGTAGATAAAGCAGAAACATCTTCTGAGTGCAGGAATCCTTTATTCCTGCTTCATTCCTGCATCAATCCTTTATTCCTAGTCATCTGACCCAGTGTGTGCTTCCCATGCCCATGAAGAGAAGCTTGTGTTTCCAGAGTTGTGGTGTAGGGACACAGAGGGGAAAATGATGTGAGTGGAACCCCTGGAGTTCCATGTTTATGTGTTCCACAAGTGCACAGTCGTCCAGATCACGTGCAGGTGTGCAGAGGACACCAGGACCTGTTCCAGTAGGACAAAGGATAATGATTTTAAACTAAAAGAGGATAGGTTTAGGCTAAATATATTGAAGAAAATTTTTACAAAGAGGGTGTTGCGGCACAGACACAGGTTGCCCAGAGAAGCTGTGGCTGCCCCATCCCTGGGAGTGTTCAAGGCCAGGTTGGATGGGGCTTGGAGCAACCTGGTCTTGTTGAAGGTGTCCCTGCTCATTGCTGGGCTGGATTAGATGAACTTTAAAGGTCCCTTGCAATCCAAACTATTCTATGATTCCATGATTCTATCTTTAGGGGCTCGCTTGGGAACAAGGGCTTCATTCGTACTTGTTCTGTTATGCAGAAAGCAAAACACAATGTAATTCAATATTGTCAGCTCCAATCTGGATCTATGGCAACAACTGTGAAAATAGACAAGTCTTATTCTGCTCTGATTTCTTAGATTCCTGTTGACATTTGCAATGCTGTGTTTTGGAACAAAATTACTGAGAAGAAAAATTGAATATTTTGCTCATATTATATTTTTTTTTTCCGCACCAGTGCTCAGGATTGAATACCATTAATGTTCTTGTAAGAATTCTATGGTCATAGATATTCCAAAACAGGCTTCTGTAACCCTGAGGTCAGAATTTTAAATTTTGCAAGGTTCTGTGGCTGCATCTAGTGGCAGTTCATACCAACTGCAGCATTCTGTTTACTGCAGCTGATACTTCTGTTTGGATGTGCCCAGATACATAGGTCCATGTACACACACATACTTCTGTCTGCAAACGTGTATCAATAAAAATAAAACTTTTTAACGTGTTGTCACACAGCTGCAATTATTCATTCTGAATTAATTCTTATTGTTTGAAAAAAGCAGAGATTCAATCACAGCAAATAGTCTCAGTAACAGGAACATGGTGACATTTCTCTTCTGGGGTTGATTGGAGCAACAGAAATCATTTCACAGGGTTTGGCTGTGGTTGCTAAATCTATCAGGCAGTGAGCTGAGCTGCTCTGAAGTACTTTAGTAATATGCATAAAGCATGTAAGTGTGAAACTTGTGCAAAAGTAAGCAGACTGAGAAGAATTAAAATCAGTTTCAAGTGATTGCTTATAATCCTTTATCTGAATTGGTCAAAGTACCTGCCTTTGCTGAAAGGGAGGGAGGGATGGATATGAGTCTTCCATGTGTAAGAGATAAATGGATTATCTATTTAGTAGAACTTTCAAGACCCAGAGATATTTTGTTTCTAGTACAGTTGTTCACCTTAGTCTTTTGTGGTAGTGACATGTAGCACCCTGTTTTGTTTAATTAACAGAAACAAGGCAGGAGGGGTTGAAGGTGGCATTCAGGTGACTTTTTCTGGTGTGTTTTTTAAATGGAAATAGCCATGGAAGTCTGCTAACGTTTTTTCCTTTTAAATCTCTTTCTGGGGCAAAATATTCACCCCATTTCTCCAGAGGCAGCAATGGGCTCTCATATGGAGAATACTCCAGCCAGTAAACCCAGGCAATCAGAAGTGGACCAGATGAATAAGGTACAGTGACTAATTTGCTGTTTTATGATTTTGTTTTTCATTGGTGGCCTTTTCCCTTTTTAGTTAAATAGTGAGGTTTAAATATGAAAGACTGTCACAGCTACCTATGGGTTTCTTTTACTACTACTACCTACATAAGTCTGTGTAGGTAATCACAGCTACATTATATATATATATATATATATATATATAATTGCATATAATTGATACCTGTAGCTAACTTATATAGCTGTAATAGTTTGAGAGGCTAAAGACTGCAGCAGAGTTTTCACTAAATGTTTTAGTTTCATCCTTACTGAAATAAGGGATCTGTAACCAAGCTGAAATTCAGAGAATTACAAGGTCTGTTTATGGACTGGCTTTCTGAACTTCCTCGTTGTTCTTCCTGTGCAGGGGCTTGAGTTGTGGCACCTTTAGAATGAGTAGGCCAAACTCTTTTTGGTCCTAATTATTTTATCCCACTACTGAGCTGTAGATCTGACTGTGCTTAGCTTTTGCAGGACCAAGGCCTAAAACAAGGTGTGAGGTTTGAATGAAGCCTCAGCCCAGGAAGAGGTACATGTATTTGAGAAAACAAATCACAGTAACGAAGCTTTTTCAAGTAATAAAGAGAAAGGAGAGATGAGTGGAAGCAAAACAAAGAGCTGTAGGGCTTGTTTCCTCAGCACATTTTGGTTGCCACACAATTAAATCAGTTTGTTTTCCTCAGGCATGTGTCTCCTGAGGGAGCTGTGGCAGCTCTGGCCCCCGTGGTGCACGTTCTTGTGTGATGGGCTGTGGTCATGGCTCCAGAGCCCACCCAGCCAGATCAAGGCTCCCTGTGCTCCCAGTTTTCTTTATGCTGACACTACTGGGAAGGCAGGCAAAGCAGCAGGAGTGAAGCTGTTCCATACAAACAGTGCAGCTGAGTTCCTTGCCTTGCATGTTCATGGCAGACAGAGGGATTTTATATTGGGATCAAGTCGCTGTTTATCCCTGTTTATCTTGTTTGTGTATTATTTGGTGTTCCTTCTGTGTCGGCTCTAATTTCAGGGTGTTGAATGCTTTCCTGGTGCTGGGAGAGGGGCAGGAGATGCCACAGAGAAAAAAGATGACACAGCAGCAGCAGGGACTCTAAACCCACAAGGTCCTGAAGAAGAGGACTTGGAAAAAGGTGCAGGCAATACTCGGCAACACAAAGGACTCAGGAAAAGAGCAAGCCCTGGGGACTTGGTTGGAGACAAGGCCACCAAACAACTTAGAACTACACCATAATTGCTGTTCCAGAAATCAGCAAATTCAGTATAGTCTTAAAAATTGTAATTGACTGTTCTTAATTTGTGACACTGCAGAAATTTCTTCAGGTAAGATGTAATTTTTTTGCAACACGTGCTCTCCGTTTTATGTTTTGTTTTAAATAAAGCTTTTGTTTACTCAATGTCCTTTCCTTTTTCTTCTCACCAAGTAATTAAGTAGTAGCTGAGCCTAGTTATTTCCCTGCTCTGAAAAGATTTTATTGGATTTCATGAGGTGTCCAAAAGGGAATAATTGGAGGGCTTGTAGGTACTGATGTAAGAAGACATTTCTATGGAAACCACATCCTGCATTATGGAAGAGAGATACCACAACACACGTTGGTATCAGAATGACAGTTGTAACCTTCCTTTCAGAGTGAACAATTGATCTTGAATTGCTTTCATTTGAGCTTTTCTAGCAGAAAAATCTGCCTTAAACCCTGTGGTGGACAGGATGGCACACAAAGGCCATTCATGCAGGAAAAGTTTGGTGCAGAGAAGGAGGGTGAACAGAGCTACAGGCATTAAACTGCCTTTCAGTTCAGGCACTGTCACAATGCTATGTGTAAGTTCAGGGTGTAGGACTTGGTGTAGATTCCACATTGCATGTTTTATTCCATGTAGGCTCTTTGCTAATGTTTTGCATTTAATGAACTTGGAAATATAACATATTTCACTGGATTGCTCATGTTGTGGCTTGGTAAAGAAATTTTGTTCTTTTACCACAAGCTGGTTATGTTAGAATATTTTATTTATTTTTTTTTTTAGTGGGGACTTTCTAAATCTTGAATGTTGTGTTAATCATTACAGGTGAAAATTGTAAGGATCAGATCTTTAGTCCAGTGGCAGAGAAGGCTTTGTAGAGAGATACTTCAGTCCTGAACAGCAGTAGGGGCCTGATGAACCTGAAGAGATCCAGCAAACTGTAATTCTTAAGTCAATGCTTTGGAGCAAGGAAAGGTAGCTATTTCTTTCCAGATACTAATCCAGCATTTCCAGGGCGACAGTTCTGTAGGCAGGCATTGTAGGTACACTGTGGGGATGTGTATTTTCCCCCCTGTACAGCAGAATTGCTCACTCATAGCCCTGTCACCCTGTTTTGGTTTAAGGTCGTGATTTAACGTAGCATTTATCCCTGTATCCAAGTAACTCCTTCCCCCTGGAGCTGCTCTGTAAACCATATGCCTGAGACACATAGAAATCAGACCTTCCTAGGTATCTCTTAAAAAAAAAAGAAAAAGCTATAATTGGAACAAGTTTTTGCCAAGAGAATTAAAACACTGGATCGTGTGCCAGCCTTAATCACGTTGCTATGGTTCTCTTGTCTCAAAGAAAGTGCATTTAGGACTGACTTTATAGTCAGTTAGTCTTCAGATTGTTGAAAAGTCACCAAGAGTGTGCTATGAAGACTGCCACAAACTCCATGTCCTCTTGTGCAGCATTCTTACTCAATGTATGGTTAAATACAAACCTTTTTTTTAAGAAAAAAAAAAAAAGAGATATTTGTGAAGACTTGCAATACCAGTTGTGCCTAAGTATGATAGAAAATCATTATATCTCTGCTCCTGAAAGCTGATTCTGGTATTGCAGGAGCCTGGCCTCATGTCTAGTTTGCACATTATATTGTAATGTCAGGGTAAGGTAAACTGGGGTTGTTACAGCAAGTGAGGAACCTTAAGAAATTTAACCTGAATTAAGTCTTTCTACAAAATTTTATCTAAGGCCCCAGGAAATGATATATGAATTTATATTAGAATAAAGGAGATGGATAAGGTACTGTGTGTGGAATGGGCAGACAACTAATGAGATTCAATTCATTCTATATCTGGAGATACTTTGATTTAGAGGAAAAAAACATCAGTTTTTCAAAATCCTCCAGCTGAATTTATGTTTCACCTGTTAGCCAGTGATCCACAGCCTGCATTAGCACCACTTTACTGGGCCTTCTCTCAGAAAAGTTGCTGCTTTCCTCTGTGTGTGAATTGTCTTTCCTGAGTTTGTTTAGGTTTTAGTTTTCTAAGTGTCTCTTTTTCATCAAAAATTCATATGGTGGCAGCTGGGCCTCTTAGAGAAGTAACCAAAGGTGCATTTGCTGAAGTGGTGTTGGCAGTGCTTGATACTCTCTAATCAAAGTGATCACATCATCCTTCTAATCAAAACTTGTGACTTATTAGAGCCAGGAATTCTGAAGTCCTACTTAACTGTACTAAACTCCTGGGCTACAGGTTTCTTACAGTTTTCAGGATGGCACAGGCTTGCTCCATGTTAGTTCAGAAATGCTGACTTACAGAACAATTAGTCTGAATATTGATTTTGTTTCCCTTTTTTTTTTTTTTGGTTCTATTAGTGCTGTAAGGTATCTGATTAATTCAGAAGCCTGGACTTGCAACTCTTTTTAGCAGTCTGAAGCTCTTCTCAGATCCCAGGAATCTTAAGAGGGTCTGAAGCAGAAACAGATCTAATATTTTTGCTTTCTTAACAGAACAGCATAGAAAAAACCCACCCAACAGCACAAACATCTTTTTTCTCTCAGTGGAAGTTCTTTTATTTGAAAGAAATCTGCATTTACTCAAGGACAGGATGGTTTCAGAGCGCTGGAAAAGTTGGCAAAGGCTTGAAAGAGCATTCCAGTTCTTGGAGTTAAGTTTTCAAAGCCTTAGATTTAATCTCTTTCTGAATCTACGCTCTGGGTGTGGCGTCACACGGTCGTGTTTCTGCTTAGGAGATGAGGTGAGTGTGTGTGTGTGTGTGTGAGAGGGGTGGCAGGTCTGCTCAGAGGGAATTTGTTCCTGTAGTTCTTACAAGCACAGACACTTAAGTTTGGTCTGCAGTGAAGATGTTAGACATCCAGATCAGTGTTAGCAGTGATCCAGTGGGTGTGTGCCAAGTGGAATAAAGCATTGGAATCGCTCTCAAGACAAGTAAACATATGGATTTTAAGGCTAGAAATTTCATTACGTTAATCTCTCCTGATGCTTCACGTAATGGAAGCCAGACAATTTCATGCATGGTCGCTGCATCAAAAAAATCATTGGTTTTGGTTGAAACAACCCATTTTTTAAGAAGGATTGTTTTGATTTGGCAGTTTTGTTTTTCAGATGTTGGGCAGCGGGAAATCTGCCACGTTCCTTGGCAAGTTGTTCTAAAGTTTTGTCTTTATGAGTGCATCCAGTTACTTTAGTCTGAATTAATTTTGTTTTAGTCCCCTGTGATGGATTTTGCTGTTCTGTTTAATGCTGGGCTGTGGCTGTCGTGCTGTCAGGATTCTTTCAGCGTGGGGATGGACACCTTGTGGTCCATCACGACATCAGTGCACAGCTCTGGTTTTTGGATCTGTCTCTCTGAGGCAGATTTTCCTGACCTTGCTTCATTCTCCCTGTCCTTTCAGATAGATTTTCAATTTTTCAGATTCCTCTAAGAAGCCTAAATATCATTAGACCCTCCCCCCATTCTGGTTCCAGTCAGGCTGAGTGTTCCAGGACTGCCGTGACCTGTGGTTGTAAATCGTCGCGGGATCCTTTTGTGCTCGTGGGTGTTCTGATGGTGACCATGCACTGTAAAACTTAAACTTAATTAAGAGGTGTCTGTTTTAAAGTGTTGTCTGTGATGGCTGCACTGAAAATGCAGCTGATCTTGTGTCACCTGTGTCGGCACCACGAGATGGCACCATTACACAGCATAACTGTGTCATCATCTCTTGGGGGCTTGAGACCTTGCCCAGGATTTAAATGCATCACTCGTTGGCTTGACTTCTTCAGATGGAGGATGAGGGTGTGGTAAAGCTTGTCTTGTGTTTGTTGTTCAGGCTCATTTATCTGTGGAGTTCTTATTTTTTAAAATGTTTGTGAAGCCAAGGAGAAGTCAGAGTAGGACAAAATGCAAATTGCATCCAGACTGGGCCCCCCATTCTCTTGTCTCATCAGGGTTGGGACTTTCCACATAGTATCTCATTGTTTTCCAGCAGATGATTCTGTCTCTGTGTTCAACAGATAACTCGAGCATCTAATTTTTCATTTCTGTCCCTTCTCTAACACATACTTTGCATCAGAGAACTCCTGAGCACTTTCATGTAATAGCAGCTGCCATGTAATATACTGGTAATACTCCCAGCATTAGAAAAGAAAGGATGGTCTCTATTTGCCCTAAAGGTTAAATTTTCTTCCTTTGCTACTGTGTTTTACACATGACAATTTCAAAGGAGAGAAGGGCAATTAAGTAAGCAGATGATTTTATCTAAATTTTATTTTTTCATTTTTTGGAAACGTTTACTGTTTAGTTAAATTGATAAAACAAAACTTTACTGCAAAGACAAAGTTGTAATTAAAGGCAGGTGTCCATCCTAATCAAAGTTTGCAATACAAACATTTCAAGGCAAGTTGTTCTCCATTCTTTCACTTGCTCTTGCAAAGCCCAATGCTAACTCTATTTTTGGGGTGATTTCCCAGTTCTCCAGGCCTGCAGTGTCACTCCATGATTCCTGTGACATGATACATCTCCCTGCTAAGTGGCAGGAGCTCTGTTCAACTTTGAGTTCATCACATCAGTAACTTGGGCCAACATCAATGTATTATGGGATCAGTTTGGACACTCCTGGAATTCTCTCGAAGCATCTGCTAGAACTCACCTTATTGAAATTTCTGGTGCCTTCTTTCTGCTCTGGTTTTTGTGTACAAATTTTAGAGGTTTGGGAATAGAAGTTAAACACTAAATAACTACTTCTGACTTGTATTACTCGATTCTGCGAAGTGAGTGATCCAGAAGACAACCTAACAAGTAGGTGTCAAAGTAGAAGAGAATTGGGGATGTTCAAATCCACATTTTAGTGTCCTTTCCTGTGGATGAAGAAGGGAGGGAACAGTCTGAAATTCAGCTACATGGATTCTTGATAACATTTGCATATTAAGGATGTTGCAGAAAAAGAGGAAATTAACGTGTCCAAATAGAATTTCTGCTTTGTAACATTTATTGCTCAACTGCTTAAACAAAGAATGCATTCAGCTGTAGTTCATTGTTTGGTACTGACTTAGGCCTTCCTTTATGTATTTTTTGTTACAGATGAGAATGCAATAAAATATAAGTACATGGGAGACAAAATTAGAGGTTTGTAATTAGCCTGCTTTGCAATTTCTTTCTTCTTGCAGTC